GAAGCGATAATTAGAGAACCAACAACATAGCAAGAAACTGATATAGTATATATATATTTTCAGGAATAACACACCCCAAGCGTAAACAGATTGACGTCAATGGATAGTAATCCTGTTAAAATTATATTTTATATTAAATGAAAAGGTCAACAAAGTGTAGCGATGTGGACTTTGTATTCTGATATTTTTGCATATCAGCTCAAAAAAATCTCGAAAAGCCATTCAAGGCGCACGTACATACGGGTTTTTAATAATTAACGGCGATAAGAGTGATTAGAACCAAAACATTATTAATTTTTAATGTGCCATTATAATTTAATTTATTCTGATCTTTTTATCAACTTAATTTTATTCGTTTTAATTGTATTTTAGTTTGAGTAACGTTGCCTTCGCATGCTTGACACAGTTCCCAAGAATTTTTGGATGACGCTATGAAATGCACAACGAAATCTGTCTGCGATTAACTCAAAAAATGTTTTCTTATCAAAAATTTCGTATCATCAAAACGTTCTCTTAACAAAATTGAAAGAGATTGTGTTGTTTTATTTTCTTTAACCGATTTTAATTAAATATTTTCTTTTTTCTTGAGTCTATCAAGACTGCACTTTTGAAATTTCTTTCTTAAGTCAAAGCAATTCATCTCGACGATATGAACTACCGATGATTAAAAATATTTATAGGCTTTTACTGCCATAAAAGTTCTTTTAATCATCTTCACTAACCTTTTCTATTTATAAGTTTTTATAATTTTTTTCTGTTTTTATTTTTATTACTTATTTCCACTGATCTTTGATGCAGCAGTCAAGATCAAAGTCTATAGATTATGGAAAAAGGAGTCGACCTTATTTATTGAGTCAGTAACCATGAGCGTACGCAGGTGTCTCAATAATTGTATTTATATTATTATATTTAGTGAAAAAATTAAATATATATTTTGTTACTATTTATTCATTGCTAATGTTCTTTCGACATACATCATAATTAATGGAAATATGAACATTATGTATTACAACTGTTATGTATTAGTACCTTAATTTTAACGTTTGGATCTTCGTGCCCCATTATTTCTGGGTGCGCACATGGTATTAACTTCATTCAGCATTTTTAATATATTTAATTGTTCTATCGCACAGTAGTCGGAGGAAAACACTGTAAAAAACTTTTCACAGCGTTAGAAAACTTTTTGCAGTGTTTAAAAACTTTTTACAGTGCTAAAAAACTTTTTACAGTGCTAAAAAAACTTTTTGCGGTGTTAAACTGTTATTAACATAACTTACTATGTTAATAAATTTGAAATTGCAGTCATTACTATTATTATGATACTTCGCAATTAATAAATCAATTATATTATCAATACATTAAGTAGGTCTTAATAAGTTAAGAGCAATAAGTAATGAGTAATAATTATAATAATAATAAATAATAAGTTATAATTAAGTAATTCTTTGCACTTATTGTTTTTTGTATTCAAATAGAGCTTTTATCGCAATGATATGCGAATATGCGTTTAAAAATAAAATTATACGATAAAAAAAATAGGATACTATATAATAAGATTGAATAAGAATAGAGATAAACCTGGTAAGAACTTCTCTAAATACTAAGCGTTCAATTTTTTTTTTGTAGGCACTCTCTTAAGGGAAACCTTCCCAGGTTACTAAAAAATCTTTCATATGCTAGTAATAGCTATCATATATAATTTTACAAGTTTTACGAAATATTTATAATAATTTTCATCTACCTATTTTTCCATTTCTGATTGATAACTGTTGGTTTGTAGCATGTTGGAGGGACCACCACAACGACTTAGAATTGGTATTTGTGGTTAAGTTCTCAAGTCTCTCAAGTCAAGTCTTTGTTCTCCATTAAAAGTATTCAATGGAACCTTTGAAGTGACTATTCCTACGTTCATTCCATGCGATTGATCAACAATTTGTGCTTTAAAGGTAACTAAACATTTTCATAAGAGACTAAAGTTCCCTATTGTTCAAATTAAAGTCCGCTTAAACATCATTATTGAAATTCGAAATTTAATGTTTTACAATTACGAATTATATAATAACTATAAAATAATTGTTATAATTATAAATATTTCATAATTACTTATGAAATATTTGGAAGACTCACCATGAAACAGTTACAATGAACTTTAGTCGGACGTAAATTATACTAAACCATTCTCACCTATCGATAGCTGGGATATGCTTAAATGAATACAAGATTATTCAAGAAAATTTATTGGTCCAGAGACCCTAATTCGTTCTATAAATATATAATTTGTTTCTTTTTCCATACTTTTCAACAATTTATTTATCTTAAGAAAATTAGTTTTATTTGTCAGATTACATATCCCTTCATCTACCTTTTTATTCAATAATATCTCTTTAGTTAAAAATATTTAAAAACATTACGACAAAATGGTATGAATATGAAAGTTTCATTGATTGGTATGAAAGTTTCATTGATATCAATCAATGAAACTTTCTATCTGTAAACCTCATCTTTTAACAGTCTGTTGATTTATCTACCTTTTTGCCCGTGTATATATTAATGTGCAAACTACTACAGTGGCAAGATATAAGAGATATAATCGATCTTTTGTCTTGTACAGTCATTTATTTGAAAGCAAACACCTTTCAATTAGAGATACTGCTGAACTTCATTGATTCCGACCATTTCATTTTAATAATCCTTTTTTGCTGGTCAGTTTTTATAAAAATTAGTCCTTGCTGATCTTCCTTACTGCAATGGGTATACAAAATGTATATTTTGTCAATTATATATACATTTAATACTCACTACGAAACAGTGTCTGACATCGTTATTTTGGAAAGGTTTTCGATACTAATCTTTACAAAACCGTTTGAATGATTATGCAGTGAATGTCAAACTGTCCCGTATTCACAGTTTGAAGTAATTTCTAATCAATATTTCTAATCAACTGGACTATAAATTGCATTTCATTTGCAGCCGAATTAAAAGTAACGTCCGATTTGGTCACTACGGCTTAGTAATAGTAAAACCCTTAAACTTATAATTTTTAATAATTATATTAATTCATGGTGTGAAAAACATGTCAAGAACAATTTTATTAAATATTTATTCTATTAAATAACATTATAAATTTATTTCTCTTAAAATAAATTTCAATACTACTTGATAACTTCACCAACTCAATTTTTACTTAGTAGCCAACTTCCAGCGTAAAAATAAAACACTACCAATTTGTTTAACCACTCTATTGTCAACCCTAGGCGAAAACTATAGCAATCTGTCAAAATATTTGTAACAGAATAAGGTGCAGTAACAATTACTGTAAAGTTGAAAATTTTATAATTTAAATGAAAATGTAAAATATTTAGTATAATTCGGCTCAGTTTTAAACACACACTTAGGTTAAGTGACACTTAAGTTTTCGACAAAGTAGTACTTGAAATTCTTTTTTAAAATTCTTTAATTAAATTCCTAGAATTTGAACGTATATCATTTTAGTGTCAAATTGTTACTTAAGTATGTATTGTTCAATTAACCGTTAAACTATTTTTAACTATTTGAAATTTTATTATTTTATATTAAGTGATGAAAATTTTGTAAAATGAAATATTTATATTCATTTATTTATTGCCTTTTTATAGTTAGTTTAATAGTTTAAGTAATTTAGAATTAATGTTGTTCATAAATATTTATCAATCTTTTAATTAGACAAGCAAATTACATAAAATTTTTATAATCTTATTTTTCTTATTAAGTAATTTAAAAGCAATACTATTCATAAATATTTAATAATTTTTTAAATAATAAGAAATTACATAATATATTTATAGAAATGTTTTGATTAATCAAATTTTTGACTGACCATATGGCAGTTTTGAAATAATTCTTGTATTTAATTATTCGTAAATAATGATTTTTGAGACAGCAAGTACTAGGAATCGAACTCGGGTCCTGATAAATGCGAAGCTCAGAATCAACGCACCTTAACTTACTGACCCTTTTATTAAAGCATAACATTAATAATAAGTCACAAGAAATTTTTCTAAGTGTAACAATTGCATTTGAAGCATTATTTGCAGAGAAAAAAAAGCCATACACATAATTAGACACTTTGCGCTCTTTAAGTGGTTATCAGTGCCGGCCAGTTCTGATTAGTTTTTGTTGTTGCTTCTTCGTTTAGAAAAAATGTTGTCTTTATTAATGCTGTTGGTGTTGTTGCCGTTGTTGTTGTTGACGTTGGTCTTCTTTCTCATTATTTTGTAAAACTTTATTATTTTGATCTGTCCGACAATAAACTCGTAATAAGTGAAATATGATAGAGCCGAAGTAACACGAACACTTGCTACTTCGTCAATTTGCAGAATAAAACACAGTGTCTGCAGCAATAGGATTTTAGTCTTGCGGTGTAAGCAGATCGGGGCAAGTTAATTAAATTGCGTTAAACTGCAGTACACATGAGACGCTAACAAAAAACAAAAAAAAAAAAAATTGGAAAGAAACTTCACCAAATGAACAGTTAAAAAATCATTAGTTTAAATAGCAATAGCTTAAAAATTTTATTTAACTGAATAATTTACAAATAATTTAATAAATATTAAATGTTTATAATAGGAAAATAATTATTTTTAAATTAAAAGAAAACATTTCACAATTTTATAAATAAGCCGAAATTTGAACTGAAGTAAAAGAAAAGCTTGGGTGAAACGTTATATGATGTTCACAAAATAAGTTTGTTTACAAAAAATAGAAAAATAAATAAAATTAACTTTTGTTAAATTGTGAATATAAAATCTAAGCTGAAAACAAAAAATTTTAATTAGTGATTAATTTCTTTCTAAGAGAAGTTAATAACACTTTTATACGAAACTATTAAAAAAATTAAAAACAATAACTAGTTAATAATTCTAGTTAACTTTTTTCTAGAACATTCACTTTTGTTTTGTGTAATAATTACGTGTAATAGTGCTGTGTAATACCATTGAGTGTAATATTTGATTTCATAGACAATGTATGTTGCAAATTCGACAGGCGGCTTAATGCTGCAAACTATGCTGTATTTGGCAAATCAGACCAGTCGAGCTGCTGTAAACACTCTAGTCGATCTACCGCCGGCCCCAAAAAGTGGTAAGTACTGTACACTTTACTTAACAGAAAAATATGTAAGCACACATATAGGAAAAACAATTAAAAAATACAAAATCCGTTAACGCATTTACTTAAAGCGGTGTTTACAGTAGTTGTTGTTTAAACTTATTGTGTTGGAATTTAAATTATTTATTCAAGTAAAATGTGCTTGTCATCGTTGTCCAGACATCACATAAAACTCTTATGATTTTTAGCTTTAGTAAATGAAATAATTATTTTAATTTAATGTTGTAACATTTCCATAATAGAATTTTGTTTCGATTTATTTTTTTCTTGTTTGATTTTTAAATATTTTTTGCATTTGAAATATAGGGATTTGATAATCTGTGCTCATGCGTGCATGCACTCTTGCGTTATCGAAAATGACCTTGTGCGCAATTCTACTACAATTCGTACATTGAATAGTTTTTTTTTTTTTGACAGTAGCTTCGTATATTGTCAGACACAGTGGAAACAAATTATGAAGTTAGCTGTAGTAAATTCTATTAATAGATAAATTGGGATTTACTTTGATTGCTAAAGAATATAGTTAATACATTAATACTATGAATAATGTTACCCCCCGTTAATATTAGAAATATTAGAGCATAGTGATAAAATTATATATCAAAACTCATTAATCATTTAACTCATTAAATATTTTTGAATATATGTATTGACATTGTAATCATCATCTGTCGCAAGTCAAAATTATATTTCAAAAGTCATTAATTTATTCGTTTTTTTTAAATATAATATATAAAATGTGCCAATAACATATAATATTTTGATTGTGTCTCTGAAATATTTTTGAATAAATGTATTGACATTATAATCATTATCTGTCGCAAGATTTAACAAAATTTGTATTTTTTAAATTTTCATAAAATCTGAAAAGTGGCTGAATATATTTCGATAGTTGTCTTGAGTCACGATGATCTTATACCATATATTAGAGAATAGCTGGTTTTTTCAATTTTCATAAAATGAAAAAAGATATATATCCATCAAAAAAAAAAAAATACATATACATATATATCTTCTAGTAGTAATATTGAGACATTATGACCTTATGCTATAATAAATTACATTACAGTTTGTTTACAAAATATTTATAACATAAGAATAAGGGCTACATATCTTTTGGTAGTTCTTTTGAGTTATGATGACTTCGTAGTGCTATATGTTTTAGTGTGGCTTGCTTTTTAAATATCACAATGATATATAACCAATATATATCTGTTTTTATATCATGGAAATATATGTAGCCAATACCTGTTGGTAGTTCATTTCAGACATGATGACATTATAGTATAATAAGTTATAATATAGCTCGTTTTTGGAATTCTATAAAGTCTAAATAGTGACTATTATCTTTTGGTTTTATTGAGTCATAATGACTTTATGGTTTACTATGTAACATTATATATATTGTTTTTAAAATGTTCATAACGAAAGAGCTACATAACTAACGTCAGGGGCTATATATCTTTTGGTAGTTGATTTGAGCCATGGTGACTTTATAGTGTGTTGTAGTAAAGAATGTTGTAGTATAGTATGTCTTGTGTTTCGTATAAGACTGAAAAACTTTCTTACTTAAGCATGATATTGTAGAAATCAATTTTATTACTTAAAATTCCACAAATTCCAGTTTTAATTAAGAAATCAAGTTGGCAACGAGAGTAACTGTCCATCGAAAGATTTTTAATTTTAAAATTTCCATGATATCTCCATAATATATTGCATATTTATTGATATAATTCATTAATATCTATTTGAGTTTAGGCATTGTACAAACAAAAAGCACACCAAACACTTAACTATCGAAAAAACACGCAGTTCACTTGCCGTAAAACTCCATATCTTAAGAAGAAATTACATCGACAAAAAAGTTCTTCTACTAAAATCTATTGTCAGAAAGGTGCACTGCAGAAATCGGAACTGATCTGTTAGTTTAAACTATTATTAAAAGTGTTCATAAAATTATTTAAAAATGTACGTCGAACTTTAAGTTAATATATTATCGAAATCGAGTTATTTATAAGTCAGGTAGAGGATACTGTGATAACATCTAATGTTCTCGTCTGATGTTTCTAACATCCGACGTTATTATTATCAACAATATGCTTTACTATATACTATAAGGTATATTTAAGCCCTCATTCGAAATGGTATATAACTTCTGCTTAGTTTGGGCAATTCGTAGCATAAACGTAGTACGGCTATAGTACGAATCAAAATTCCAATTAACTTTTGACTAAGCCGTATTTAATTTTAATGCTTCTTTATTCGAAGTACTAAGTTTCAATATTATGATCGTAAAAGATTACGATTTGGAATGAGTCCTAACTTTTCCATTGTCTAGTACTTAATAAAATGAAATAATTTTCTGAATTATATGTTCTAGTTAATATATAGAAATTAGTTGCTCTCTTCATATCTCACGCAATAAAAAACTATGTGGTTTTAATCTACTACATTTATTTCATTATTTTTATAAGCAAATTTAATTTTATTATATAAAAATAAAGTTTTTATTAATAACTATTAATAATAAAATTATTAATTACTATTAATAATTAAATGGAGGTATGTTTAATATTCTAACAAATTAATATTTTGTATTTCTTAAATTTACTAGTCATTTATATAAATTGTTAGCTTTAATTCTAAGAAATTTTTAATAGATTTGCTTGATTATTTCAAGAAATATATTAATACTTAAACATATTAATTAATTTTTTTAAAATTAAGGAAAAATAATTAAAATTTCATAAACTATATAATCAAGTCTACGATTAATTGTTTAATTTTATAATCATTATTTAGTAAGCTTTTAGGAAAAGATGGCACATGAATGTATAAACAATCTATTTTATATACCGAAATATTTGTATACCTACTAAGTATATAAATATTATTTTAACAAAATTTGATAATACGTCATATGAGTACATATGAATACTTAATAGCATTACTAAATCCAAAGTACTTATTCTGTTTTTAATCGGTAAAAACTTAATTTCAAAAATATTAAGTTTTAATATCACACGAAACCGTTATCTATTTTTAAATATCACTTAAAAAATTTAAGCTTATTTCAAATTTGGCCAAACAATTCCCTCTATATAATCTAAATATGAGGCAACTCGAGTATATAGACTTGGTATTGTAGTACCACAACTGAAACCAGCTGAAATTATGCCAATTACACGATAAATTCTCGCAGTTGGATCAATTACAAGATTAAGTGGTCCTCCAGAATCACCTTGGCAAGCGTCTATGACTTCACCGGGATCTGTAGTACACATTTGAGTATTTTGTACACCTCTCTCATTACGACGAGTGAGGCCTTCTTCCACATATGTAGCATTACAAATGTTTATTGGAGAAATTTGCAGTTGTGCTTTAAGTAATATATTTGAAATGCTTCGTGCTATTTCGAAGAAGGAAAAAGGGAAAGTACATTAATTTTATAAAATATTAACATTTATTAATTTTATGATAACCTACTAGTAGTATTTGTTACGCCCCAACCAGTGACATACAGTAAAGAGTTTTGTGGTGGATCCGCAACATCAGTGTATAAGCAAGTTGGAGTTATGGTGGTTGAGAATGTAACACTAGTAGTTAATTCTAATAAAGCTATATCATTGTATGTACTAAAGGATAGATAATCATCGGGAATATGAACTTTCTAAAATGAAAACACGAAACGCTTAATTTATTATTTGAACAAAACCTAAAGTAATATAAAAAAATAAAAAACTTACTTGAATCCGTATTTCTGCACCATACGTTGTGAGTTCCGTCTCATTAGCATAATTGACAATACCCATTCGAACTACTGAGGGCTGGCTGCTAGGGCTATTCACACAATGTGCAGCGGTTAAAACAAATCTGGCATCAATTAATGTACCACCACAACGAAAATCGTAAGGTCCCTGGTCGGTACCAATAAGACTGTAACCAATAGCTACAACGTGTGGATATTCCGCATGCAATGCTGGTACACCGCCAAGAACATGTGGACGTGGACGGGGTCTCGGCAACGCTTCTATGATACGACAGGCTATAGGGAAAGTTTTCAGTTAAAATGTATTGACAGAATAAAAGTATTTCGATTATGTTAAAAAACGAACTCTACCCACTTTTGAATTAAATTTATATTAAAAGTTTTTAAAAGTTATCTATAAACTTACCTATTACAGCTGGTCGTTCGCCATTGGGTTGTTGTACGGTTCCTGCACGATCCATATCTGAGTTTTGTGTATCATTGAGCTTTATTGTTGTTGTATTGTCTTCATCAAGACTAGAAAAAAAATAACTTGTTATTTAGAAGGACAATACGATTCAAAAACTTTTGTGCGATCAAATTTAATTTTTTGTATATGTATTTTAAATGACTTACAGTTAAAATGTTATTTATATATATATGAGATTTTGACCAACGGTTCATATAAAATTTACCTTTTAAAGAGGTCAGTACCATTTACTGGTCTAGTTTGATCCACTTTTTCTATACTATTTGGACAGCATATTATTTCTTCAACTTTTCCGAAGCCGCATCTGAAAACTTCGTCTTCTGTTAAATCTCCGCGGGTTATATAGTTAATAATATCAGGACAATTGGATACCAATTGACATATTCCAGATATTGATTTTACCCTACAAGGATCACCCACTGTAATTGAAAAAAAATTTTTTTTTGAATTAATATTTGCAAACTTTAACAAAATCCTTAAGTTTATATTAATGATATATGCAATACTGGGGACGCAAACCAAACTAAAGAGGACTTCTTCTAAATTAATATAATCCAAAGATAAAACTTATTTTATGACGAATAATTTTATTTAAAATACAAATAAGTGGTTTTTATTGCCGGTTCCGAATAGCATATACATTTTTCTGAGTAGGTGAAAGTTGTTCAATGCGTTATCCAGTAAATAGAGGGAATTGATCTTACCAACGCTTGCAATGGTCAAAATATGGTCTCA